GCCATTGGATGGGGACTTCCTCTGATAGGGTGTCAATGCTCTTCCTTCTAATGTGAAATTGCTGCAACGTTGTCAGACTTGCTGCTGTAGCTGCCTAGATCTTGGCGCCATTGATAGAAACATCAGTAAATATACATACCTAGCTCCATGCACAGCCCTTTAGATTGACAGGACATTTCTCGATCTGCAGGTGCGGAAGGAAACAATGTAAAAGGCCTGTTTAAAACCCACACCCCTCCAGCACTGTCTACTCGAATGCAGGAGTAATCGAGCTCCCAGCTGCATTTAGCATTAAATAAGGTAAATTACATTTCTACTGAGATGTAATATACCTTGAAAATGTCTGTTTATCACTCTGAAAGAGTAGGGTTGCCACCTTTTCTTCAAGTGAAACCCGAACACTGTAGCAATGAGCGGACATTTGTTTGAGGAGAATGAGTCGTGGTTTATTCATATGTAAATAGCACCGCCTATTCATATGTAAATATCACAGTTGAGACTATTTTCAGTTGGGGGCCAGTAGCTCCTATCTTATTTTGGTTGCCCCTGTCTCTCTGACATCTTGTGTCCGGGTTTCTGCTGCCATGAAACCCGGACACAGCATTCAAAACCCGGACTGTCCGGGTGAATCCTGGACAGGTGGCAACCCTATGAAAGAGGCTTAGATGGACATTAAAGCCCAACGCCAAGCTGGTCATACACTGTTGGGCCCGAACAAGAGAAATCATTAGTTGCCCCCATCCACACTAAACAGCATGGATAGAGGAATCCCCGCTGCTGGCTATCATATTCAGCAGCTGCTGCTCTTGTGGCTGCCAAATACTGAACATTGCCTGCATCTTGATGTAGGCAATGTGTGGCCAACAATTTTCCACCTGGCTACTTCGACAAAGTAAAATCGGGTGGCACCAATAGTGCCATCCATAGCTCGAATTTTAGCAGGAATTGGCTGAAAATTTGAGCCACGTATGGCCAACTTTACTTTTCCATACTGTTGCTAACAAACTGTTAAATGGCTCTTAAGATGTCAGCCACAGAGGGAGTGCATTTTTTTTAATGCATTGCCCAATTCATAGACTTGCGTTGTGAAAAAGGACCAGTGAAGCACAAAGCACTGCAAAGCAAGAAGCAAAGCCTGCATATAATAAGCAAATTTGGCGCCTCTGTGTACATAAATATATTACACATTATGCATACTGTACAGTCACTTTTTTTAAAGTATTAGCATCTAAGTTTCAAACAAACCTTTTGGTACAATAATACAACAAAGTTTGGATTAGAAAATGAGCATGAATACAACATTATATATTTGTCTTTTGCAGTAAAGTTCAGAATTGTGTCAATAAATGCAGATCTTCAACCCAGAGACACAGTGGCAAGTGAAATAAGATATGCTGGTGTGTGTGAAAATATAAGCATGCTTACAATCAAAATTAAATAAAACATTCTATTAACGTGAACCTGTATGTAGAAGGACATGCTAAAAATGAAAGGCAGTGAATGTCTGGTGATTCTCATATTCACTGCATTATAAATACTGTATATCCCCTTCTGCTACAGGCTTCACCATATTTCCAAGTGTCTGGGTTTTCTCTACTCATTGTAATGCTTGTGGGTGTCTTATTGACCAAATAAGAGGCATGTCTATTATACTCTATTGTGGGCTGTGCTTATACTCAAATTTTCAGAAAAGTCGTTATTTATATAGGATATCTTGAGGCTCCCAGGATGCAACAGATGCATGTTGAGCTGAGTCAGCACAACTTGGATGATATCTACTCAGAGCTAGACATTCTGTCACCCGGGGCAAAGTCTCAGAATTGCTCCACACCCAAGGGAGACGTTCTCCATCTACACCCTCCTGCCCCCACCCCACACTTCTGGGCTCTCTTCTTTTGTCAGGGCGTTGCACCTCCTGATCCACCACATAGGTGAGGCTTCAAATCGCCTCATTCTCTCGTGCTGCTTTGTTAATTAATAATCCACTTCTGGGCTCCCTTCTATTTTCCCAGCAGTGCCCCTTCTAATCTGTCATGGAGCAGAGACTTGAATGAAGTGATTTCAAGCCTCACCTCCGTGGTGGATCAGGAGGGCCACCGCCGCACCAAAAGTAGTGAGCACAGAAGCGGGTCTAAATATACTAATCCACCACGGAGGTGAGGCTTAAAATCGCTTCATTCAAGTCTCTCCTCTGTAGCACAGCTGGGCCTTTCTGAATGCCGCAGAGCAGAAGGAATGCTTGAAACAGCCTCATAAGTGTTGCTCATAAAGTGCACTGCTGATTGCTATACATGGAACTATACACATGGTGTAGATGACACTCAGAAAGGGTTTTCATAGGTGAGATCACATACAGTTCAGTAGCAAGGAACGTAGAGCTCAGTAGTAAAGAGCGCACTGTTCAGTAGTAAAGAACGCAGCACATGGTAGTAAAGAATGCAAAACACAGTAGTAGAGAACACAGAGTGTGGTAGTAAAGAACAAGTGGTTTGGAAAGAACGCAGAGCGTGGTAGGAAAGAATGCAGTGCACTGTAGTAAAGAGCACAAAGCGCGATAGTAAAGATGCAGAGCACGCTAATAAAGAACACGGCATGGTACTAAAGAACGCAGAGCATGGTACTATACAATGCAGACTACGGTACTAAAGAACGCAGAGCATGCTAATAAAGAACGCAGAGCACGCTAATAAAGAACGGAGAGCATGGAACTAAAGAACACAGAGCATGCTAATAAAGAATTCAGAGCATGGTACTAAAGAACGCAGAGCATGCTAATAAAGAACGCAGAGCATGCTAATAAAGAACGCAGAGCATGGTACTAAAGAACAGATACCACAGTACTAAAGAACACAGATCATGTTAAATAAAGAACGCAGAGCATGGTACTAAAGAACGGAGACCACGGTACTAAAGAACGCAGACCACGGTACTAAAGAACGCAGACCACGGTACTAAAGAACGCAGACCACGGTACTAAAGTATGCAGAGCACACTAATAAAGAACGCAGAGCACGCTAATACAATTCTCAGCTTAACAATATCTATTTCTATAAAGAAAGTATCTTTCTCTCCTCTGCCATTCTGTCTTTTATTTAAATACAATTTACAGTTAAATATATTTCACTCATCACTTTGAGGCACTCTCTGTGCATCCCAGGGGGGTTCACCTTCGGGGGGCGGGCTAGCATCCACAAACTCCCTGTGCCCCAGCCCTTCATCTTCATCCGGCTCCAGCTCCTGCTGGACTTCGGCTCTCTCTGCTCTCGGTGCTGCTGCTGGCCGGGGCGGCCGCATGAGGTGAGAGAGCTATCTCCTTCTCTGCTGCGGCCTGGAAGTGGCGGATCGCCATGGTCTGGTTGATGC